CGACGGTGCATCGCTGACAGTCTTAGGCAGATTATTTAAATTTTAACTAAGATGCACTAAAGGGCCGAGTTATTGACTACACGTGTCTACAGCACGATCGGACGGTCATTTATATCGTTTATCAGCAAAAAAAAATGTTGATCTGGAGCGACTTGCTCTTTGTGTTTAAAACTATTTGTTACTAAACAACACAACCACACAGCTTCTGTTTAAATAAGATTCTGAAAGAAAACAGCAGCTATTGCTAATGCTAGCCGTGTTTATGGTAACCCGGGAATTCCACCAGACGCGTTTTTCCCGCAGCGAGTTCCCTCCTGCCGGGAGTTCCACACATGTAGTGGCCGTGAATGTGTTCTGCACATCTGGTGCTGCAGTGGAACGCGTCCAAAAGGTCTGCTGTTGATTTTCTGTTCATCCTCCGCCAAGGAGGTGACACAAGAAACGATGCACTTTAAAACTAATTTAGCAATAAGAAATCTACACGTGTCTTTTATTTTGAAATTTCCCTGATACTGCTGCAGTGTTGTACCTGTCTGGTCTGGTCCGGTCTGAGCAGCTGAACTTTTCGTGTTCTTGAAGCGTACCATATCTAAAACTACACCTGGAGAAGAAATGTAGTGGAGCAACACAACTATTCCAGGACTACATTGGCGGCTACTAGCTGATTACTGCACATGCATCCAGTACAACAAGGAGGTAACACGTGCTAACCTTTAGCCACAGCTAGCTGCGGTATAAACCACCAACTCACTGCAAAGTCATAAGCTACAATGGCAAATGTGCAATATAAGCTAGCTTCAAATACCTCTTAGCTTAGCTTTAAACATGCATCTCAATGCATGAAGTGGTGCTCTCGCATTTAAACCTCTGTAAATAACACGGCTCGGTCTGAAACCAGCGGCTGCACCATCCGGCTGTCGGTCCCACCGGACCGCTGCACCTCCCTGGGTCCTCCACTCATCACACACGCAGTTTCTTAGCAACACTGGTGGGGTGAGACGTTCTCCGCTCAATAATGTCAGAGGAGGAGGAACAGAAAGGCTGAAAAATGTTCTTATATATTATTACAACCACACACGAATCAAACAGCCTTCTCATCTAATCAGCATCTTTGCAAACAGATGAGCAAACTTGAACCCCTGCAGGCTAATAAAAAAAATAAAAACCATGTGTTTACTTTTGGTTTCCTGACATTTACACCTACAGCTTGGTGTGATTAAATTAGGTAATATTATTTCATGTGTTTATGGGAAACAGAAGCAGCAAACAAGCTGACCTGGAGTCTGCAGGATGCTTGTCTGCTCTGCCTGGTGGAGGTGAGCTGCAGCTGCTGCTGGTGGGGGGGGCTGGGGCCTCCATCTCTACTCGGCTGTAGAGCTGCAGCAGTTCAGTCTGCAGCAGCTGAGTGATTCTTCTTTGTGCGTGATACCTGCAGTCTGAAGCCTGCAGCTCCGCCCTGCAACAAGAAAAAAGAGGGAGGAGAATTAGAACAGGCGTGTGTGTGTGTGTGTGTGTGTGTGGTCTGCTTTAAAGGCACAGTGTGTAAAAACATTCAACACTTAAGCGCCACACAGTTCAGCGTAGGTATTGCTGCTACAGAAGCACACATCCATCAAAAAAGGCAATGCGGTGCATGCACGGCTGCAGGGGAGAGGGAGACGCTGTAGCACCAACTGCTGCTGGGGGGGGTCACACATAGAAAATGACACTCTAGCTCTCAACAGTTTTATTTAGTTTCAGCTGTTTCGCTGTCAGTCTCGGGGAATCCAGATCCTCTGACGATGCTCCAGACGACAAAAGCTACCATATTTCAAGATGGCGCGTGACAGTGGAGCGTCGGCCACAGTCCACGTGTATAAAAATCTAAACTTTCAAGCTAATAGGAAATTTGAGAATAGACTTGGGTGAGAAATATTAATGAAAAAGGACAAGTTTGTGAACATGAATTTGCTTGTAAACAATAAACAGTATACACACTGTGGCTTTAACGTCTGACTCTGGAGGAAGGAAGGTGGAAAACAAATCACTGAAAATCTGAGATTTCCAGATTTAAACCAACACTCACTTCGCTTGACCCTTGACGTCCTCGAGGAACTTCTTCTGCTCTGCGATGAGATGCTCCTTCTTAGAGAGGTGAGTCTCCAGCTCGGCCACCCGCTGCTGCGCTGCCTCCAGTTTTTGCCCTTGAGCAAGCAGACTCAGCCGGAGCGTCTCCACCTCCTTCATGTAAGACACCTGCAGCATCTGGGTCTCCTGGGAGAGGGCGTACACAGCAGATAAAGACTCGTGTGTGTGTGTGTGTGTGTGCGTGCGTGCGTGCGTGTGTGTGTGTGTGTGTGTGAGAACTACTGTGATGATTCGTTTCCACCTGTAATCGAGTCTGTGGCCGTTATTCCCCACAGGTGGATAGTTTACCAGCCCAGTCAAACAGGTAGGTACGGTAGATCTACCTGTTTGACTGGGCTGGTAAACTATCTAAATTTAACCATACTTACTTTTACTAAGTGGCTACGACATGGAGCCATATTAGGGCTCTTATGGCATGAACTAAAGCCTGATTCATGCTTCTCCGTCAGCTCCTAAAGAGACAAACACGCATGGACAGACGGAGACATTTTGCTCTCATACTTCTTCATCTCCTGGAGAGTGTTGCAAAGCAATTCCCCGCCAGGACAGCAGAGGGCGTAGCGCTGTTCTGTGGTATCCTGTCATGTATCGGTCCAAGATAGTGTGTTTATATTGTGTTTTTGTACATAAGAGACTTTTTAACACAGACAAGTTTGTCTCTCATCCTCCTCCACCTCTTCATGCGCTCGCCACCTCCACACCCACGTTTCTTGCCGTTTACATCCACAAATAAAACGCTTGCTGCGCATCTTTTCACTCCTCCAGTCACGGGGAGTGTTTTGTGGATTTGGAGAAGGCTTATGACCGTGTCCCCAGGGGCACCCTGTGGGGGACGCTCCAGGAGTATGGGGTGGGTGGCTTTCTGTTAAGGGCCATTCAGTCCCTTTACCAGAGGAGCGTGAGTTTGGTCCGCATAGCCGGTAGTAAGTCGGACCTGTTCCCGGTGAGGGTTGGACTCCGCCAGGGCTGCCCTTTGTCACCGGTTCTGTTTATTACCTTTATGGACAGAATTTCTAGGCGCAGCCGTGGTGTGGAGTGTGTCGAGTTTGGTGGCAGGAGAATCTCGTCTCTGCTTTTTGCGGATGATGTGGTCCTCCTAGCTTCATCCAGCTCTGACCTTCAGCTCTTGCTGGGTAGGTTCGCGGCCGAGTGTGAAGCGGCTGGGATGAGGATCAGCACCTCCAAATCTGAGACCGTGGTTCTCGACCGGAAAAGGGTGGCTTGCCAACTCCGGGTCAGGAGAGAGGTCCTACCTCAAGTGGAGGAGTTTAAGTATCTCGGGGTCTTGTTCACGAGTGAGGGTAGGAGGGATCGGGAGATCGAAAGGCGGATTGGTTCGGCGTCTGCAGTGATGCGGACGCTGAGCCGATCTGTCGTGGTGAAGAGAGAGCTGAGCCAGAAAGCCAGGCTCTCGATTTACCGGTCGATCTACGTCCCAGTCCTCACCTATGGTCATGAGCTTTGGGTAATGACCGAAAGAACGAGATCGCGGATACAAGCGGCCGAAATGAGTTCCCTCCGTAGGGTGGCCGGGCTCAGCCTTAGAGATAGGGTGAGGAGCTCGGACATTCGGGAGGGACTCGGAGTAGAACCGCTGCTCCTCCGGATCTAAAGGAGCCAGTTGAGGTGGTTTGGGCATCTGGTCAGGATGCCTCCTGGACGCCTCCCCGGGGAGGTGTTTCGGGCATGTCCTGCCGGCAGGAGGCCCCCGGGCCGACCCAGGACACGTTGGAGAGGTTACATCTCCAATCTGGTCCGGGAACGCCTTGGGGTCCTGCCGGAGGAGCTGGTGGAGGTGGCCGGGGAGAGGACGGTCTGGAGCTCCCTAGTTGGGCTGCTGCCCCCGCGACCCGGACCCGGATAAGCGGAGGAAGACGACGACGACGGTCACGGGGGATTTAAACGTTCATATTTTTAGAGTTTTTTCACGAGGCATTCTTCAAGCTTCTCCGTGTCTGCCGCTAGTTATCCTCGGCTCTCTTTATGTTTTTGAGGGCGCAATGGTGGCAGTGTAGACGACAGCGGCGTCCTGACCAATCACAAGCTTGCGTTCTCTGTCTCGGCGGAGGGATGTTTAGAAAAGAGAGCTCGACTCCGTCCGTCCTTGCGGGCCTGCTGGATAATGGCGTTGCGTGTCTCCGCACTGACGCAGAAGCATGACTCAGGCTTAAGACACATCGCTCCCTGCTGGTTCAAAGCTCCTTCACGTTAGCATCATCTTTTAATCGGAGATATGAAAACACAACGGAACCACTTCATCAGAGCTAACTGCCTGATTTTAACAAACATAACCTGTTCGTGATGATTCTGTCCATAAATCTTGTTTATTTGTGGAACCGTCCTGCAGAGTAAAGTATTGCTGCGTCCGTTTGTTCCACCTCGTAGCGCTCCTTACTTCTGAAAGCGGCCCACTCCCTGCCATCGTACCTTTACACTACTGGTGCTGGTGTGCTGCTGCTCCTGCATGGACAGCTTATGCGCCTCCCCGAGGAGCAGCAGCTGCTTGTTCAGGAAGCTCATCTGCTGCTGGGTGCTCTCGCTGTTGCTCAACTGAAGGACAAACGAGACAAAATGGATGTTGGAGGACAAAGGAGCAGAAACGTTACAAATGAACCCGGGCCCGACGTGACCGGGTATAAATCAACATCGTCTGTGAGAACATCCACCAAACACACATCCCCCAGGTGTCATGTGTGTGAGCGTGGCTGTTCTCGACAGGAAGGCAGAAAAAGTCAAACCTCAACCAAAACCAGGGTTATTTAACTAAAACCACCCATCAGCGTGTTTTAATGCACACTTTTCCTGACCTTAAGCTTTCTTTAATCAGAGCTGTGGATCGGTTTTAATTTCAGACGAATGCCATTAAACATCTACATCTAATAATGAAAAACTGTTTAAATAAAAACATCTGCAGTGGTCTCTCGTGTAAACAAAAGCCTTGTGAGTCGATCTCCGTGGAAAAAAAGCTCTGGCGCTCCTGTTTCAGGGACTAAAAGTGAGCCAGAGGAGAGTCGATGTGAAGACGGCAGAATTTGGAGTCATTTCCTGATATTCAGACATCTCTCCTCTGATTGGATAACAGAAGCGTGACTCCACCATGAACTCAGTTTGCTCTGCAATGTTGATGTAGGAGGAGCTCTGCTCTGTGGTGGAGGTGCTAATGCTAACAGTTAGCTTCTACAAGCAGACGTTTTCTGGATGCTACACCAACGACAGCCTTCCCCGTCGTGAGTCCAGAAGGGTGAGTCCATAGATGTACAGTGGTGTGAAAAACTATTTGCCCCCTTCCTGATTTCTTATTCTTCTGCATGTTTGTCACACAAAATGTTTCTGATCATAAACACATTTAACCATTAGTCAAAGATAACACAAGTAAACACAAAATGCACTTTTGAAATGATGGTTTTTATTATTTAGGGAGAGAACTAAATCCAAACCTACATTGCCCTGTGTGTAAAAGTAATTGCCCCCTGAACCCTAATAACTGGTTGGGCCTCCCTTAGCAGCAATAACTGCAATCAAGCGTTTGCGATAACTTGCTACGAGTCTTTTACAGCGCTCTGGAGGAATTTTGGCCCACTCATCTTTGCAGAATTGTTGTAATTCAGATTTATTTGAGGGTTTTCTAGCATGAACCGCCTTTCTAAGGTCATGCCATAGCATCTCAACAGGATTCAGGTCAGGACTTTGACTAGGCCACTCCAAAGTCTTTATTTTGTTGTTCTTCAGCCATTCAGAGGTGGATTTGCTGGTGTGTTTTGGGTCATTGTCCTGCTGCAGCACCCAAGATGGCTTCAGCTTTAGTTGACCAACAGATGGCCGGACGTTCTCCTTCAGGATGTTTTGGTAGACAGTAGAATTCATGGTTCCATTTATCACAGCAAGCCTTCCAGTTCCTGAAGCAGCAAAACAACCCCAGACCATCACACTACCACCACCATATTTTACTGTTGGTATGATGTTCTCTGTCTGAAATGCTGTGTTACTTCTACACCAGATGTAACGGGACAATAAGTTCAGCTTTTGTCTCATCGGTCCACGAGGTATTTTCCCAAAAGTCTTGGCGATCATCGAGATGTTTCTTAGTAAAATTGAGACGAGCCCTAATGTTCTTTCTGTTTAACACTGGTCTTTGTCTTGGAAATCTGCCATGTAGGCCATTTGTGCCCAGTCTCTTTCTGATGGTGGAGTCGTGAACTTTGAGCTTAACTGAGGCAAGTGAGGCCTGCAGCTCTTTAGAAGTTGTCCTGGGGTCTTTGGTGACCTCTCGGATGAGTTGTCTCTGCGCTCTTGGGGTAATTTTGGTCGGCCGTCCACTCCTGGGAAGGTTCACCACTGTTCCATGTTGTTGTTGTTGTTGTGGATAATGGCTCTCACTGTGGTTCGCTGGAGTCCCAAAGCTTTAGAAATGGCTTTATAACCCTTACCAGACTGATAGATCTCAATCACTTTTGTTCTCATTTGTTCTTTAATTTCTTTGGATCTTGGCATGATGTCTAGCTTTTGAGGTGCTTTTGGTCTACTTCTCTGTGTCAGGCAGCTCGTATTTAAGTGATTTCTTGATTGAAACAGGTGTGGCAGTAATCAGGCTCGGGGGTGGCTACAGAAACTGAACTCGGGTGTGAAACACCACAGTTGGGTTATTTTTTAACAAGGGGGGCAATTACTTTTTCACACAGGGCAATGTAGGTTTGGACTTTGTTCTCTCCCTAAATAATAAAAACCATCATTTCTAAACTGCATTTTGTGTTTACTTGTGTTATCTTTGACTAACGGTTAAATGTGTTTATGGTCAGAAACATTCTGTGTGACAAACATGCAGAAGAAGAAGAAATCAGGAAGGAGGTAAAGAGTTGTTCACACCGCTGAAGGCGACAGTGTGACGTGGATCTGTCAGAATTCTCTCATCGGAGCGTTCCCGTCTGTTTTCTATCAGCTGGGGGCAGAAGACTGTGTTCACGTGTAGCTTGTGTGAAAAACTCAGAGCGACTGTTCATATAAAAAAAATAATTAATTAAACTGCTCCTCAGTGAACTTAGTCTTTAAGAAACCAGCGTTTCCTCTACCTTGACCATCATCTGGTTCAGGAGGTGACCTGTGTGGCACACTTTGTTATTGGCCCGCTGAAGTTCTGCCTCCAGTTCATCCAACCTCTTCTGACACTCCTGTGACTTGCTCTGTGGGAAACCAGATTGGGATTAGGATTCAAACTGGTGTCTAAAATGGATCGGTCCGTTTAGGAAAGATGTGTGGCGAACCTGAAGCTCCTGGTTCTTGGTGTAGTAATCGTCCCGGCTCTGCTGCAGCTGTCGGATCTGACTGTGCAGTCGGGTCACCACCAGCTCGCGGTCGTCCCACAGCTGCCGGTACCGCTGCTGCTCAACCTGCAGGCTCTCCCTCAGAGATGTGATGTCCACGCTCTGCAGGTTCAGCTGGTCCTTCTGCACAGGAAAATCAACACAACCGTCAAAACACTTAAAATAAATCATTATCGCAAAATTTAAACACAATTAAATCTTTATCTGGGAGGTTAAAACCAGCCTGAAAACCAACAATCAACAAGATTCTGAGTTCCCTTAAACGTCTCATTGGAGAGCACAGCAGTCTCTCCTGTAAAGTAAAAATGTTTCATTAATCCCTTGAACTCATTCGCTGCCAGCGTTTCTCACCATTTTTACTGCTTAAGAGTGACAGAACATTGAGCGCTAGGATGATGTCGACGCCAAAACAACCAAAGCAAAGCGGAGACTCACCTCTTACATCAGGAAGAATCCGCGCGTTTGGAGCGTTATCCGTTCTTTCATAATCCGATGTTGAATTGTGATCGGCAGAAGCTTTTCCGGTTTGCGCCTCACTTTTTTTACAGCAGCGGCCCAAAACGATCTCCTAACACATGGATGTTCTGCTTCCTGATCACGTGACGTGTGACGTACGCGGATGAAGATCGGCTTTAGAGCTGAGATGTTTGTTCTCACGGCGTGGGGGCTCGTCCGACGCCCACACAGTAAAAACATGCAAATGACGACTTTAGTCATCAATGACTGTGAATGAGTTAAATTCACACATTTCCTATTTGTTAAATAAAAGTAGGTGTGGTCAACGTTATTTCTAATAGGGTCAAAGGTACACAGCTAACTCAAAGAGAGAAGGTCACAGGTTCGAATCCCGGCTGTGGGAGCTAGCATGTTCAGCCCGTGCATGGGTTGGTTTCCTCCCACAGACCAAAAGCACGCACGTTAGGCTGATTGTCCTGAGGTGTGTGCGAGTGTGTGAACAGTTGTGAGTCCCCGTGATGGACAGGACGCTTGTCCAAGTTGTCCCCTGACTGGTGGGGTTAGATGCCAGCTGTTTAAGACCCTACGGAAGTATAACCGACTAAGACTGAGATGCTTGTGAGGAAGACAGAAAAGAGGGCATGTTTCTCCCGGACCGCTTTGCACGTGACACTCGCAGCCTGATTTTAGTGTTTACTTGGTGATGATTTTTAGCTTCATTCTGCTAAAATGACCCATCATCAGGAATGAATGCCTTGCAAGTCGTTCTCGAGGGGAAAAAAGCTCAGATGTGCTTGTTTCAGGAACTAGCAGAATGAGATATCAGAGGAGAGCTTAACGCGACCGGATCTGGAGTCTTATTTCCTGACATTCAGACATCTAGCCTCTGATTGGCTAACAGCAGCAACATTCTACCACTGACTGTTCTGCAAATTTGATGTTTTTTCTCCACAAACAAGTCTGGAGGAGTTCTGCTGTGTGGTCAAGTTGCTAATGCTAACAGTTAGCTTCTACTAGCTGAGATGTTCTCTGCTGATTCCTGGACGCTAAACCAACAACAGCATTCCCCATCGTGAGTCCAGATGGGTGAGTCCATGAATGTTAGTGACAGGGTGACGTAGATCTGTCAGGATTTTCTATCCTAGAGTTTCACCGTCTGTTTTCTATCAGAAGCTACTGCAGGAGACAGGTGTAGGAGACTATTTTCATGTTCAGTCTGCATGAAACACTCAGAGTGACCCGTTAGAATCAGAAATAATCATTAAAATGGGTTTCCAGGGTTAGGGTTACTGAGAAGCTGTTTCCTAGCATCATGAAGACTGTTTGTGGTTCAGCTTTGTGCCCAATGCTAACTGCGTAACTGCTGCATGCTAGCAGCTCATCTCATCTCACCAAAACCCGCCCGTCCCGCCGTCACAACAGACTACAACAGCAGAAATTCGGTTTCCCCTCCTCCAGACTTTTTAGAAGACGTTCAGATCTGGACAGATTTCTGACTTTCATGATTCTGTGCACGTCACTCATAACAGAAGAGAAAACAAGGCGTGCTTCCGATCACTCGAATGCTTTTAGTCGACGGTGTTGTTTTTGTTATCAGCGCAGGGGTTTAAAGAGGTTTGTGCGCCTCCAGACTTGCCATGGCATTGTTCTGCTCCTCTAGCGCGGTGGCGTTGATGATGCGTCGGAGGAGGCGTCGGTTGCGGACGGCGTGCTGCTCCCTCTTGTAGCGCTCGTACAGCAACTGGTTGTGCAGCAGGAACAGCTGGCTGCGCAGCGTGTGGAGCTCGTCCAGAGGAGCCGATCCTGAGGAAACCGCCACAACGAGGAGGAAAATCAACACAGTCAAAGAAATAAAAACACAATAAAAACAGCAAAACTACACATCTGGGCTGCTAAAGACTTTTTAATCACTAAAACCTTAGCCGTCATGTGGTTTTAGCTCGACCTTTCTTCTTGTGGTCGGCTAATTTCCTGTTTCTTTGCAGACTATCTTCATACGAGCCACTTGGTTTGGTGTTCAGATAAGTCTGATTTAGCAGACCGATCACAGCTGATTTCTATTTTAGTTCTCAGGTTCTTTGTTTTCTTTCGTCCCTGATGGATCCGTTTTCCTGTTCCAGTCTTTGGTTTTAGCTCTTTGTGGATCTTGTTCATCTTTAATCATTTTTAGGAGCTTTTACTAATAAACGTTGTTTTCCCTGCTGCTTTTGCATCCAATCCCTTCAAATAAACTTCGTAGTGATTTGCTTTCAGTTTCTGCAGAGATTATGAGGAACAGAGCTGGAAAACTAAATGCTGTAAATCCACTTACTAACACTCCATCATTACTGGAATTTAAAGGGACTTCACAGACGTTTGAATTTTTATGCTCGCGATCGCCCCCTCAGGCCAAAAGTGTGACGGCAGCTTCAATAGTAGGCTCGTGCACGAGGCGCGCATGCTGTACGTGCACACTCCTTAATGAAAATAACAGCTGAGACAGTCCCGCGCGTGCGTGCGCGTGTGTGTGTGTGTGTGGGGGGAGGACAGGAGAACGTGTAGCTAATTAATTAAATAATGTGGTTCTGTACCTTTCTCTTCAGCACAGCCGACAAAGGTTTATGATGGGTCAGTCCTCCTGCATGCTCAGATCATTCCCTTCCCTTGCTTGAAAAATTGTTCCAAAATGAAAGTTGAACCCACATCTTTTTTATCTGTGAATTCAATGCCGTTCAGCGAGTCTCAAATAAAAATTTGGGCATCTTACTGTAAAAAAAATATACCATTAATGTAAAAAAGAAACTCTAAATAAACTATGTTCACATCCAGAATCAAACCCAGGTCTTCTGCATGACAGTCAGACATCTTACTAGGTGAGTTAAAGTACCAGTGACATCTTTTGTATCTGTAGCATTTATATCCTTGATGACAGCTGAAACAACGTCAAACCAAAGAACGGTTCGGAGTGAAAATGGCTATTTTGTTGCTAATTAGCAGGAAATATCTAGAAGAAAGTTCTACAGAAAGTAGCTAAGGGTCCTCAGAAATTTAGCTAGCTTTGTCACTAGGCGTTAGGAACAGCGACAAAGTGGCACTGCCTCTCTCTCTGCTGCTAAAGCTACGGATAGCAAATGCTACGGGCGATGCCTGAGCGTGAACGCGCATGAAGCAGCCTGCTCGACCCGAGCATCTCTCTTTTTCTGTGGTTTTACAGAAAAACAGGCAATCACAGTAAAAATGCCAGGGCTCATTCTACAGGACCAGGGCATTGCAGGAGAACGTATGAAGAAGACATTTATTATTTCTACACATGTTTTGGCTGTCAAACTTCCATAATGCCCCTTTAATGTTCCAATTGTTTCATTTTACAACAATTGGAATATTGTTGTAAAATTGGGTTATCTGACATAAAAGCACTAAGTTGAGTCAACAGGCAGCAAAGTTTGGTATTTTTATGGAATTAAATAAGAATCCTATTTAAATTAGAATTAGAATACACTGCCTGGTCTGGATTTAACTAAAGAACCAGGTAGGAGCCTCCTATTGTTGCCACCCTCAGTTAGGCTGTCCCCATCTCTGTCAGTCTTCAAGAGTCGCCTAAAAACCCACCTCCTCCGCTTGGCGTTCCCTGAACATGTTTGAATTTGGCCCTCTTTTATGTTGAATTTATCTCACAGTCTTCATTGGTTCAATTTTTCCCTTGTTTTACACATTTGTCTTCTACTAGAATGTTTCACCTTTTTTGTAATTTGTAATCTGTAATTTGAATTGCTTTTATTTTCTGATTTATTCACTTTCTTTAACTTTGTACTGTACCATGTTCAGCGCCTTGGGCTTCCTGACAGGGTTGCGGAAGGCGCTTTATAAATAAATCTTTGATTTGATTTGATATTGGATAATTACTGCAGGGCGATGATCCTTCAGCTGCAACAAGTCATTTAACCCAACTGGTGCAATGAGCTGCGTCTCGTTTCTTAAACAACCAGGTGGAAAGACACGTCTGGTAGAGAAGATGTTAGTGTGTGTGAGAAGGGTCAGATCTTTGGCATCAAGCAGAGAAAACATCTAAGGAGATGCAGAAACGACTAAAACTGGGTTAAGATTGGTCCAACGCATCATTAAAACTAGAGCTGAAACGATTCCTCGAGTACCTCGAATAATTCGAGTACAAAAAATCCTCGAGTCAAATTCTCTGCCTCGAGGATTCGTTTAATTCATATTTAATTAATTCGTGGCTTTGCAATCGCCCGGGGTCATGTTTCACCCGGACCGAAATAAGTGACGCACATGCCCACTGGACTGAATGCACACGCGAGTAGCGAATATAACTTAACTTTCTCTTAACAACGTGGGCACCGGTGGAGTGCGAAAAAGACAGAAAAAGTCAAAGTTGTGGGACCATCTTTCACGTCGTAAGACGGAAAACGTAGTCCAGTATAAATACTGTAAAATGGATTTAGCCTACCACAACACCACATCCTCCATGCTGCAGCACCTGTAAATGTCACTTCTGCAAGCGGACTCAGAGCCTCTACAAGATAATGCTTTTTAGCCTGTTTTTCTATATATTCTGCGGACACTGCGACTTTTTCGTTTGTAGCACTCAGTTTCAGCTCACACCGTACATCTGGTAGCAACACGTCGGACTTAAAATGTGCTAAAAATAGCAGTTTTTACACAACACGTTGGACTTTTTATTGTGTTATTGATGTCTGTTGTCCCTCGGGGTTTCTGCAGGAGGACACGGGTATTTATGAGTGGCGGAGGAAAACGAAAGAAAGTAAATAAATGTTTTGTGATCAGTATAATTTGACAAAACCACAGCAAACATGCTTTTGGCAATCCTTGTTAGTGTGAGAAAAAAAAGTGTAGAAATAAAAACGGACGTGTGTTAACAGGGAAACAGCCGGCGAGCTGTTTGCGCCGTGAGCGGTTCTGGTTCTGTTTGGGCCGCAGCCGCTCGCAGCGTTATCCTCCTAGTTTTTGTCTGACTTGCAGGCTAGCAGATTCTCGCACGAGGGGAAAATCGGCTCAGGTTGTTTACTTATTTTTTGCACAGGCATTTGTTTACTGTGAAGTAAAGTTGAAGTGTTGAAGTTATGCAAACTAATTTTGAATAAAACTTGAAGAATAACTGGCAATTGCTTGCTCATTTTAAGAGGTCTTTCATAATTATAACATGCTATTTGATATCAAATCACTTTTATTGTCACGTCACATGTGCAGGTACACTGGTACAGTACATGCGAGTGAAATTCTTGTGTGCGAGCTTCACAGCAACAGAGTTGTGCAAAAATACAGTAATGTAAAAACAAGTAAAATATAAAAATGGCTAATCTAAGTATACAAATGAATAAAGTAAACAATAAGATAAGAGATATAAAATGTACAGAGGTTGGTATGTGCAAAACAGTGGCATTAATGTACATTATGGAGCGTGTAATGTTGGAACTTGGTGGAGCTCGCGACGAGGCAGCCATACTCGTTGCCATCTTGGCTCATCAATATATGATATAATGGTTTACAAACACAAAAGGGTAATTTATTAGAGTACTCGATTAATCGAAAAAAATATTCGATAGAGTACTCGATTACAAAAATATTCGATAGCTGCAGCCCTAATTAAAACTGGTCTAAAGAGTCCAGATGGACCCTGTTCCAGAGTGATGGCGCATCAGGGTAAGAAGAGAGGCAGATGAAGTGATGCACCATCATGCCTAGTGCCTACTGTACAAGCCTGTGGGGGCAGTGCTATGATCTGGGCTTGCTGCAGGTGATCAGGTCTAGGTTCAGCAACAGGATGTTCTCCAAGAATGAGGTCAGCTGACTTCCTGAATATCCTGAATGACCAGGTTATTCCATCTTCCCTGATGGCACGGCCACATTCCTAACCTTAACCTCATGGAGAATCTTTAGGATGTGCTGGAGAAGGCTTTGTGCAGCGCTCAGACTCTACCATCATCAGTGCAAGATCTGGGTGAAACGTTAATGCAACACTGGACGCAAACAAATCTGGTGAAGCTTATCGAAACAACGCCACAGCGAATGTGTGTCGTAACCAAAGCTAAAGGCGGTCCTACGAAACATTACAGGTGTGACCTTTTTCTTGGGGTAGCATTTTCCAGGTGGCAGCAGCATATGCAGGGAGGCCCAGACGCATCACTGCAGATGCAGCACCAATCCGCCCATCCATCTCCTGACCCACTTCTCCCTCACTAATGAACAAGACCCTGAGACTCAAACTCCTCCCCTTGAAGCAGGACCTCATCCCTGACCCGGAGAAGGAAATCCACCCTTTTCCAACTCAAGATTTGGAGGAGCTGATTCTCCTCCCAGCTGTTTCACATTCGGCTGTGAGAGCTGGAGATCACGTTCTGATGAAGCCTACAGGAACACATCAGCAGCATAAAGCAGAGACCTGATCCTCAGTCGCCCAAAACAAATCCCCTCAACATCTTAGCTGTCTAGAAACCCTGTCACTGCAAACAGCAGGCTGTCAGCCTCACAAAAATCACCTTCAAATGCCAACACCCGATGGCTGCTCCACACTGGATCTGGCGAAAAGCCACTACCTCGACCTCCGATGAGGAGATAAAAATGCTCCGAAGACTTGACTTGCTAGTAAATGACATCTAGTTTATGACTCGAAACCAAGAAAGCTGGAGGTAAACATTTCCTCCCTGAACAGGAAAGATGCTTGTTAACCTCCTCAGACCTGAGAGTGAAGCTGCGGCCGGACGCTGAAGCCCTGAACACTCGTCCTGCTGCTTCCTGAGCGCAGCAGACTCGGCGTGACCGTGGGAACGTTGTGCTGATGAACCTCAGCAGAGAAGCGCTGGATCGCTTCAGCATCCCGCTGATGGCTGAGCGCGTGACGGATCATGCTTAGATAAGGCCGACTGCAGCATCAGAACAGGAGGTCATGTGATGAACTCTTCTTTTAAGGTGGAATTCCTGATTATGATCTGAAGAATAAATCTCAGCACAAATTCATCCACGTCTCCAGAAAAGAGCCAAAGGGACTGAAAACCTCTGAAACTAGATTTTGACTTCGTTCTTAACCCTTTAGCTACCACAGCCAGTGAACTAAAGTATTACTTTTACTTGGTGCAGCAAAAGGGATTCGTTTTCTAAAAAAATCACTTAAAATTGATTAGGGGGAAGAAACAGAAAACAGTAACAATCCATTCATCTATTTTCAACCGCTTATCCGGAGGCGGGTCGCGGGGGCCGCAGCCCGTTGGTGTATGCTCGACGCGTCCGTCATTTTAACAGCCACGCCCCTCCACCGCGCCTCCGCACGGCCCAAACTTTCTGCAACGCGCACCTAGGAAATTTTCTAACCACGCGGACGGTCGGACGCGGAAAAACACGGCGGACTGGCAAGAACTAGTATGGCAGAGGGTCGTAAATACAGACATTTGTATGATTCAGCTCTCAGAGATCACCGTGATCAACATGTTGTTAATAATTCTTGGAAAGAAATAGCTCGCACTGTCGGAAAAGACGAGGACGCTGTTAAAAATGCTGGAAAAACATGAGGGACCGATATGTGGAGGCAAGGAAGAGACAAGCTGCATGAACCATAAACGCTGCATGTTGGGAAGCGCGTTCCAGCCGCATCACCGCGTGGAAAGTGAACGCGTCAAGCATAAACCAAGCTTAAGCAGCCCAGACTTCCCTCTCCCCAGCCACTTGGGGCAGCTCCTCCAGGGAATCCTGAGGCGTTCAAAGTTTTAGTTTTAAAACTAAAGTTTTAATTTTAGTTAAAATTTTAATTTTCTGCCTACAACTGTCAGTGTTGTGCTGTTGTCAGGTAAAAACTCTGCACTGCATTTTAATTTAAATCTGCCATCGCTATTGGCTAAGAGGTACCCTAGAACGTTAGCTGGTACCATATGATGTCACAGTGTTGTTGTGAGCCTGTGTGTGTGTGTGTGTGTATTTGTTAGCGGCTCCGCCCTCTCGGTCTGCTAGGCAACAGCATTTGTTGCATATTTTAAACAGGAAGTGGGAGTGGAGTAATACTCTGGTAGGGGGTGACTTGCTCTTTAATTGACATATTTGAGTGACAACAAACTGGAAGCTTTTCTCTGTCATCACTTAGGCTTTCAGCAGCTTCCTGGTCCTAAAGTGTCACACTAAAGTGCAGATTTGGTTCATTGTTTTTTGTTTTTGAGGCATTTCAGGGCCTGGTGTTGGGAGTTGCTGCCAACACGGCCCCGTGGTTACATTAACACACACTTTTCTTCTGAAAAAGGGGGAAATAAAACAAATGAGATCATTTATTGGACAAACACTCTCACTACCGTTCTGCTGTGGTGAGTGTTTTACCTCCAAAGTGTGTCCAGTCAGCTGACTTACTTGGCAAAGGTAATCTGTAAAGGGACAAAATAAAAGGTCTTAGACGCCACACTAAACACCCTCGAGTTTTCTACAAAAGCAACAAAAACAAACTGCTACCGCACAGATTGGCTGAGAACTAGTAAAGTTTCATCATGATTAAACCATTTTGTCCTGGTGTAAACACACGCTGCAAGGCCAGATCAAAGTTGAGTTGTACAGGTAAACCGATGAGTCACCTGAAGCCATAATAAACAGTATTTGCAGGAGAGCCTCTCAGAAGGTTCTCACTTTCCTCACATGAGCCGGTTGGACTAAACCTTTTCTCCCTACATAGCAGCAGAGCATCTGGATCACTAAACTCTAGAAGGCTCCGAGTCGTGGCTGACTGGAGACAAAAACAAGAATCAACTAGAGGTGGGCCAAACATGTCACGAGTATTCTGATGACGCAACAAACGACAAAAATAAGGTGTTGTTGGAGAGAATGAGAGGAAACGAGGCGGATGCCGTTTGATTATGTCCGGAGCTCAAACAAACAGGATAGGCGAACGATCCAGACTAAACTGAAGCGGGAAAGATTTGCACAACATTCACACCACAAGCCCGAGCCAGTGGTTCTAGCTGTGGTTCGGTTAGAAGAACAGCTCCACGCTGGCGTTTCTCACCTCTTGAGAACTTTATCGTGGGCATCGCTCCCCTGCTGCACAAGGCGATCCAGCACCTCCAGCGGTGAAGCTGACACCACCCCCTCCTCCTCCCCGTCCTCCAGCCCCTCCTCCCGCTGCAGCAGCCTCTCCAGCGCCGCTTTGTGAACCACCTCAGACGTTTTCTGACCCACGAAGAGCGAGGCCGCCCTCGGCAGGGCCAGGTCAAAGAGCGACTCGTAGGGCACCGGAGCGGGCATCTTGCTGCATGGGCTCGGTGAGAACATCCCGAACTTGCTGACTTCGTCTTTGGGGGCCGAGGGGCTTCTGTGGAGGTGGTGGTCGATAGGCGTGAAACCAGACTGGAAGGTCCAGGACTGCTCGAGGGCGGAGCTCTGGCCGTCTCCTCCTGCTCCTCCTCTTTCGCTGCTCACCGAGATCTCACTTTTGTCCGGCGTCGACACGGCTTGGTGGGTGTCTCCGACGGTGCCTCCCGACCGGGCGGTCTTGTCCGGTGCCCGACTCCCGGTCAGAGTCTCGGTGGTGCGATAAAAGGGTGAGTCGAAGCCCCTCAGACCTGGCAGCTCCAGCTTCTCCTCAGTGAGCTTCAACAGCTCCTCGGTGATGGCGGCTGCATCAATAAAGAGAAGATGGTTAACAAACCAGATGTTTAGAACATCCATGTCAGTGAGGCCCACGGGCCTTTTGTGGCTCCGATTCTTTTGGTCCTCAGTTGCATTTTGGGTTTTACTGATGTGAGGACAAACAACAAATACAGAGCTCCGGGAGTTGACGTCACTTCTCCCGTCATGCAACGGTTCAAATCGAACGGTGCCATCTTGGCAGGCAGAAGCCCGCAGCTGGGCTATTTGTTATTGTAACGTCCAGCAATGGTCAGTGTAGGTACAGTCTGACCTTTCACCATCTATTCAACATCTGGTCAGAAAGGAGACACAACACTGCATGTGTTCTATTTAAATGAGCCTGCATTCATACCAGCTGGGACTCACAGACTCTGCAAGTCTGAAAGATAAACAATAACTTTCTTTCCCAAGGTCCATCAGTCTGCCTCCACAGAAGGAACAACTCCAGCTCCAATCAGTTGCTAAATTCAAGAATGATTTACTAAATCAACATGAACTTCTTCCATGACTCATAATCTAGATGATCATTAAATAAACATTTATTACTACTTATAGTATAGGAATCTGTGCTCGCTGAATGGACGTTATGTTATGTTTATGTCTACTAGAACCTGCCACGTGTTCAACATGTTATGACGACGAGGTCCTCACACCTGCACTCACACAATAACAAGTACGGTTAAGTTAAACCCTGACACACATCGTATTACCCAGTAAGATCATCCGGTATCAAGAAGGCGTGTTTCTGAGTTGTCTTGGTAACATCTCAAACTTGTCAGCCTCTGATTGGCTGTGCAAGTCATAACATCTAAACCTTAAAACTGGGTCATCCTGAGTGATTCGATAGTTCTAGAGAATCGCTCAGACCGAGAGGGTGCTCGCTGCAGAACCACAAAGGCAGAGCTGCACCATAAGGTGGAGCTGCACCAGAGTCAGCCCCGCCCATTCATGAATTGGTTCTGGTAGTCCAGTGGCAAGATCGTCTGATCTAAATTTCGCTTTTCCCTCAGCTGATGCTGGTTCGATTCTCGGTGGGATCGGCAGCAATCTATTTATCCAGCTGAAACATTTAATTTGTTTATATTTTAGTTGTAATGTTTATTTTCAGCAAAATATTTATGTCTCTAAAAGTTCTTTGAATTTGGTCGTTCCTAAACAGCATTTTAGTTGAAACTCTGCTCACAGATGAACTCACACTGACTAAACAAATAAATAAATAAATAAACACATTAGTCATTATATGTTAAACGGTATACCAGTAAATTGTTGTAAATATAGCACTGGCAAGTGTAGCTAGAAATGAAGAAAAGGGATTGTAAACTACCTAATGCTCCCGCTACTGGGAGGCGAACCTGCGCAAAACTGCATGTCAATCTTACTCCGTAACCACTACACCACCACATCAAATGAAAATGAAGCGGCGTTACATGTAGTTGTCCTACCCAGTGTGTTTTTGTAGATGGGATGTATGATTTTTCGGCGGTGTCTCAGTAGAAGCCATTTCAGAAATAATTTGTCCGAAAATTCACAGAATATCCAGATTTGAGAACCAAGACCAGACCCGCTTCGGGGGAGAGGACCAAATTGAAGCTGAGATGGGAGGAAAATACATGAATGAGGCTAAAAATGGCTTTGGCGTGTTTCTCATGAGGAAATGACAATATAACATGATTAAAAGTTCCATAAGTTAGATTTTTAATTATATGGAATCTTTACAAAAACTGTTCAATTAACTTCTCAACTCCGTCCTCAATCTTGCATTTTTTAGCTATAACACCCTCTTTGGTTCCAGAATGCTATCAAGTCTGACAACTGGAAGGAATTGGACTGACTCTTATGGAATGGGCGGGGCTGACTCTGGTGCAGCTCCACCTTCTGGTGCAGCTCCGCCTTTGTGGTTCTGCAGCGAGCACCACTTGCTCAGACCGGCCACCTGTATTAAAACTCTTTAACCATCAAAGATTTTGACACGTCGTCAAAACCTTTTTGCACCTGCAAAGCTGATGAGCAAACAGTTCCTGCAGAACAAGCTGATATTAGACTCCTTAAAGAGCAAGTCACCCCCAAATAAACTTTTTTTTGCTGATAAACTAAATAAACGAGTGTCTAATCGTGCTGCAGACACGTGTCGTCAATAATTTGGCACTTCAGTGCATCTTAGTTAAAATTTAAATATTCTGCCTAAAACTGGCAGTGTTGTGCCGTTGTCAGGTAAAAACTCTGCACTGTATTCTAATTTAAATCTGCCACCGCTATTGGCTAAGAGGTATGCTATGATGTAAACTGGTACATTATGATGTCACAATGTTGTCGTGAGCCTGTGTGTGCGTGTATTTGTTAGCGGCTCCGCCCTCTCGGTCTGCCAGGCAACAGCATTTGTTGCATTTTTCAAACATGAAGTGGAAGTGGAGTTAGACTCTGGTAGGGGTTGATTTGCTCTTTAAGAGTCCGCCAGACGCACGGTTCCATCCAGCTGTAGTGACCCGAGACATCTCTGGACTGAAAGTCGGTACCACGGTATTCTACAGCCCTCCGGTGCCAGAGGTCAGCCGACCCCTGCGACTTTCGGATCCACCAAGAGGGTCTCTCTGGAACGGGTGAAGTGGACATAACAGATAGCGTCTGATGTTCTTCTGATGATAACAACTTTACAGCTTAGAGCAAACCAAACTCTTTTCACCAGAACTTGGCTTACTTTGATAAGGAAGCTCCGACTGATGTCACATTCACACATAGGTTCCTTCATCACGTGTAGTTACATCCACTCAAAGTAAATGCTTAGTTAATTAGTCATGTTTTAATCGTTTGTAAAATAAATTCTTACTTTTATAAACCGGACCCTTTCTTGAAGTAACACGAAGTGTGGTTGATCACTGAAAAAGCAACGAACCTAGAATCTTCTGATAATTACAATAAAGAACCTAGCAGGTTAATATTTATATTTATATAGAATATTACATCTTCCTGGTCCTAACAGATAAAAATCATCGACTTGCCTACGCTACATTATTGTCAGAAAACTCAATCAGACAGGAAATATGGTAGATTCCTGTTGTGCCCCAGGATGCAGAACAGACGCGGACGACATTAGGAATGAGCCATCTACAGGATTCCCCAAGATCCGGAACGCCGCAAACGTTGGATCATTGTAATAAAACGCGCTAGTGACCGGGCTGAAATGAAGCTGTGGGATCCCGAGAGTAAAGGTTTTCACTTATGCAGCGACCGCTTCATATCAGGTATTTAAACCAACGTTTCCTCAACTGTGTGTGGTATTTATTTTAAATGCTTTTATTACGATTCTTAGTGGGCTTCCTAAACTTATTTAGGCGTGGCTTTTTCTGTCTTATTACTCATAGCAACAAGTAAACATCACGTAAAACGTTGCCTCGTGAGTTCTGCGTGCTGCCGTTTACGTGTTTTATGATCACAGCAATTAACCGGCTAAGCTGTATTTCATTTTTAAGCAATGGTTGATCAATTGTCAGATCACACATAAAAAGCACTTTGGATTGCTATTATCTGTCTCACCGAGACAGATCTCAGACAGATCCTGAGACGCTCCTGCCTGACATATTTATTTTATTCACGGAAAAAAAATCAGACTAGTGATTTCTCTTGGTGTTCAGTTTATACATTCAAACAGCACAGCACTCTATTTAAACTACTTACATGTAAATCTGTTATTTGTGTTTTTGTTTGATTAGTTTTATAAATTATAAATGTCAGGGCATCTCATATCCGGTAAGTCCGCTCCGACAGCTTCTGGCGTTTTTAAAAAGTATCCCAGGGGCACGGTAAGGGTCGGAGATGTTTAGTCTATTTAATTTTTGACTATATAAAACGATTTCTTCGGTTTTAAAGTGTGAAGTAAACTCCGACGGAGCCAAATCCAAGCCGACCCCCGTACATTTTGTTTACCTTTACTGCCTGCCAACATGGCGTCTACTCTCTGAGAGTCACGTGACGTCCGGAGCTCTATAGATACATTTAAAATGGTTTCATTTGAATATAAAGTATTAATCTTTTGTTAACCAGGTTAATAAATCAGACTTCCAACCCACGCCGACTCTTACTATAAAGAAAGAATTTGTTATTTAAACGTCCTGTAGCTACTTTGGATCAGAAGGACCTTGCAGACAAAAAAAAACCAAGTAGTGAATATTCAACAGTTTAAAACTGAATGTTTTATTTTTGTTGTCCTAAAAACAAAAGCCTAAACATAAAAGCTTTTAATGTTTTTAAATAAAAACAGCCTTCCTAAATAACAAGACCAGTTCCAAGTGAAGAGACATGAAATGAGCTCAAACACGATTTAGGAGCAAGAAACAAGAATACAAATCTAATCCGGGTAATTTGACGCATTTCTTTCACGGATTAAAATGTAAAACAGCTCGTTGATGTTTCACACCAGCGAGGACGAACAGATCACTTTCTATCCCTACATTCTGAGCATTTAATGTGTCGCAGGTATGTTGCAAGCTCTCGCATGCCAAAAACAATGGAGGTAATGAACAAGGTCATAAGGAGAGCAGAGATAAGCTCGAGGTCGCTCGTGCTAGTGGAATCAGGCAGGAGTGGTCCAACTGAACAGGAAGCAGCAGAAGAGGTGGTACCGAAGAAGGCCAACTGAAGAGACATCTCAGGAAATGAAAGTCCTCTGTGGAAAGTTCTGGACTTTGGGTGGAGACTGAGACCAGCTTACAAATTTAACATCATATGGGTTTAGCTGTCATGTGATAATAAGATGTATGTAACTGGCAAAAGATTACATTGTTTAGGCTGTCTCATGACTAGTTGAGATATTGCTTCACTATGGAAAATGTTTTGCTTGGCAGTTTTTTTAGAATGATATAAAAAGGGCAGTTAGAAGTAGAGAGAGTCGACAGTGGAGAGACAGAGAGTAGAGGTAGAGAGTAAGAGTAGAGGTGGGATAGAAGAGACGGACGACAACGAGAGAAGTTGAAGAGAGCTTAGACTTGGACTT